CTTGCGGTAAGGTGTAAGGCGACCCCCTGCTAGAGTCACTCGGCCGGTGTTTTGAACACTCATCTGTTTGAAACTTATCCCGGTGTTGCTCAGAATACTTTGTAAAGCCTGGCTGTCTGGTTCAAAATCAACCGTATCGTTCTCTGGAACTGAGAAAACAAATTGTATTAGAACATAGCTAGTAAAGCCGCGCTTAGTCGTCCTAGATTCTAAACAACTCGATGAAGACTACGAAATTGTCCAACAAAATGCTCCTGCAACTGTCCAATTGGAGCATACAAAGCGCTTGCAATTTGACAACCCAATTCTTTGACACCACATTTGCTCGTTCGTTATCAAGCCCAGACTAAAATACTACAACATTATACACCTGGCCTGGGTTGCTCGAAAGGTGGATAACACTATCCATCGGATAAATCACTATCCAGTGGATAGCCTGGTTTGTTTTGTTTTGTTAACACTTATCCACTGGATAGCGATTTATCTGGTGGATAGCGTTATTCAGCTTTCGAACAACTGGGGCCTGTACCTTCGTCCGCCCAGGCAACTTGTTTCCTTGCACAAGAAGCAACCTGGGAGCTAGCAGCGGGCGCAATGTCAACATTACGCGGTTTCAGCGGACATACAGTAGTCTGACTAGTGCTTGGTGTAGGACAATGTTTGGAGACCGAACTTGACGCTCCCGCAGCATTCTGGGGTGGGGGTCTTGTGTAGTAAATGGAGGTCCTCTTCAAGATCCCTTCGGACGGCTGAGTAATGGCTAGCTCTGAATTGCTGTGAAAGACGGAAATTCCATTAACCACCTTAATTTGCTAATGAAGAATGAAATGTTAATGCCTCATCGCAATTGGTTTTGAAAGTAATTCAGGATTAGTTTAGTTTATCTACTGCTCTGCGATTTTTTTAGGGTGACTGGTAACAGCTGACAGCTTCTTTCCACACTTCCACCTCGATGGATTAGCACACCCATTGTTTTTCAGTTAACACTACAGGAATGACATCAAACAAATGCCCAATCATTTGCGAATCAATTGCAGTCATTTTCCTGACTTTAAAAGTTGTCGTAGCAACAATGCTGAAAGCTGAACACACCCTTAATTCAAAGGTCTAAGATCAGAAGATGACCCCATTTTTCATCATCGAACTGTAATCAGTATGTCAAGATGGGTTCTATTGTTGCTCTGGTAATATGCTTTTGCATCACGAAAAAGGAAACTTGCTCACCAATACTAGTAATTGGGCATTTGTAGCATCAGCTACATTAAAGGGCAGTTGATCCATCAAAGACGAAGAGTTAACAGCGACTTGGTCACGCTCTGTGACTCGCTTTCGCGTGCTTGGGCGCTTCAAGTTCTCATTGGTTTATTGTGTTGTGATTGTAATTGGCCAGGACATTCCATGACTGCTTTGATCCATAGTTAATAAAGGGGAATGGTTATGAAAGTATGTAGTATGTAGTATGTTTTTGTTCTTTTTTTTTGGCCTTGACCGTGCACAGAACGACCAATTTCGATATATTAAAATTCAGCCTAGAGCAATAGACCTCAGCACGAGGCTACGGTGAATAACTACAGAGTTTGAGGGGTTTATTCCCCGGAACCTCGTGCTGAGGTCTATTGCTTCAGGCGGAATTTTAATACATCGAAATTGCGCTATTAAACAACAAAAACGTTTTGGTTATGTAATTCATGCGTAGTGTATGAGCACAAAACAAAAGACTGTGCACAGTCCTGGTTCGCTCCTTTGTTGTTTGCTGGACCACACAGTCATTCCGCTCAGTCTATGAACTATGCCCGGGCCGGTTGAATAACACTTAAAAACCACTCGAAACACTGTGGTAGTAGTCACATGCAAGCACCTTGAAGGAATTGCTGCAATCGTTGCTTGACCAGTAATTCGAAGATCTTCATCCTGAAAAATTAAGCATTTGTTAAATAAGTACTTTAAGAGGTAGCATACAACAAAAACAAAACAAAAAAACAAAACAAAACAAAACAAATCAACTCATCAAAGCAAACATGTGCTGTAATTGTGATATTTACGGCACCTTAATTCCCGTGTTGTTTAAAATTCCTTTCAAAGCTGTACTGTCAATCTCGAAGTCATCATCATCATCATATGAAACAATGTCTTCCTCATCTTCACTGTTGTAAGCATACGGTCTTTTCAACTTCTTAATAGATTGTTGATTGCTTTCAGCAAGCTTGAAGGGTTCGATCTGCACAAAATGGTGGAAACATCTTCATGTGAAAGAAGCTAAATGCACGTCAGAACATTGCAGTCATTTTTTTTT